CTGGCTACCACTGTCAACCACTTGGAGGGGGATCGGTACAGGAGATCCTGGATAGAGTGGAAGAACAATGTGGAACAAAACTCAAAATCATAAAAAAATAGAAGACCAGTTTTGCCGGTCTGATAGAGCCTGGTGGGACCCCTAAAGCTACAGCCCCTACTTACAATTAAGGGCTGGAACTGAACTCATTCCTGTGGCTTCCAGCCAAACAATAGACAGGCATATGGGGTGAACAATTACATCAGGAAGATACAGATACACTCCTTGGCGCTATCAATCATAGGAGAATAGAAGGGCAGGGTTTGTACAGGGAGATAGCTTGGGGGGCAGGAGTACATGGGAGGGAAGGACACAGGAAAGAGGTAACTAAAGGGAGGAAGTGGGAAGAGAGCTGTTACATTGTGGGGAATTGCAGTCAATGTCATGAGACAAAATGTGTATGAACTGCTTATGGAAAATGAATTTGCTCTGTAAACATTCACCCAAATCACAATAAAAATTTAAATAAAAATAGGCCACCACTTCAGAATTTGTAAAAACTGTAACATCCAAGTAAGTGGAAGCCATAGATCTACCACAGTGTGACAGCTGGCAACTGGCACATTCTGTCCTGTTGTAAGAATCTCATCTAGAAGGGTACTATGAAAACCAAAACCCATTGCCATTGAGTCGACTCTGACTCATAGCAAACCTTCATTGTGTTTCCAAGGCTATAAAGCATTCAGGAAGTAGATTGCCTCATCTTCCTCCCACAGAGAAGGAGGTGGGTTTGAACCACTGACCTTCTGCATAGCAGCCAAATGCCTTACCCACTATGCCACCAGAGCTCCTTACTGATGGTAAGGATGGAGTTAATATGTGTCTGAGAAGAACATTTGGGAGAGACATGATAATGATCTCCAACTGTGTAAATGGTTGGCACATAGATAAAATTGGATTAGAACCCCAGAAGTTTGGGGTGGATTTTAACTTGACTTTCATTCAATCCTTAATAGTTAGTGGCGCCATTCTTTGAGAAGCTTCATAAAAGTACTGTTTACAACACTGTCTATCTTTGCTTTCCTTCAACTCCTTTCAATTCATTTTTCAACCAATTAAAACATAACTTCTGCCCCAATATGGGGCTGTAAATGCTCTCAACTAAAGTTACAAGTGACTGTTGTCCTTATCTGCCATGCAGTCAGCCTCTGACTCATGGTGACCCCATGCACGCTGGTATAACACCTTTGTGACCTGGGGTTTTCACTGGCTAATTTTTGGAAGTAGATTGCCAGGCCTTTCTTCCTGGTCTGTCTCGTATGAAAGCTCTGCTGAAACCTGTTCAGCATCACAGCAACATGCAAGCCTCCACTGACAAGTGGTGGCTGTATATGAAGTACACTGGCCAGGAATCACACCTGAGTCTTCAGCATGGTAGATGAGAATTGTATCACTGAACCACACTTGCCCTCTATCAGTGCTATTGTCAAGTTGATTCTGACTCATAGCAACCCTATGGATGCAGGACAGAGTGGAACTGTTCCATAAGGTTTCCAAGGATGTAAATTTTTAGGGAAGCAGATTGTCCCATCTTTCTCCCCTAGAGAAGCTGGTGGGTTAGAACCACCAATCTTTTGGTTAGCAGCCAAGTACTTAACCACTATGCCACTAGGGTTCCTTCTACCAGTGACTAGCAGGCAGAAAATCGGTGAGATACAGTTGAACTGAAAAGCACCATCAATCAACTGGCTCTAACTGACATTTATAGAATACTTCATCCAGCAGCAGCAGAACACACATTCTTCTCAAGTTCACATGGAACATTCAACAAGACAGACCACATCCGGAGCCATAAAACTCACTGTAACAAAATCAAAAGAACAGAAACCATACCAAGTATACTCACATACCACAACAGAATAAAAGGAGAAATTAGTAACAGAAAGACAGCTGGAAAAAGCTCAAAACATTTCGACATTAAACAGCATACTTCTAAATAATACATGGGTCGAGGAAAATGTCTCAAGAGAGATTTTCAAAATGTTTTGAACTAAGTGAAAAGGAAAGTATAATTTATCAAAATTTGTGGAATGCAACAAAAGCACTGCTTAGACGAAAATTTATAGCATTGAATGCATTTTTAGAAAAGTGATCTAAAATCCCTCACTTAAGCTTCCATCTCAGGGAACTGTAGTTACCTGGGGCCTCATGAAAGAATTTGACACTGATGCCCACTTCCTCCTGCCTGAAACTCCCTCTCCTTGCTCTCTGATACTGTACTCTCTTGGCCTCTCCTCAGTTCTCAACATCACAGAGGCTCCTCTTAAACACTGGGCTTCCTCCAGGTCAACCCCAGGCCAACTTCCCTTTTCACCCTCACATTCTCTCCAGACTCTCTCACCCACTGTGAGGGCTCCAAAGAATCTCAGAAATCCATAGACTATTGACTCTCAAGTTTCCAGCCTATGAACCAAAATACCTAATAGATTTCCTGGTAGATGTCCCTCTGAAAAACCAGATGATGTTGAGTTGATTCTGACTCATGGAGACCCCATATGTGTCACAGGAGAACTGTGTTCCATGTGGTTTTCAATGGCTAATTTGTCAGAAGTAGACAACCAGGTCTTTCTTCTAAGGCATCTGTCAGTGGACTAAAACTTCTAACCTTTGGTTAGTAGCCAAGTATATTAAATGTTTGCACTTCCAGAGACTCCAGATGCACCTCTACCACTACCACTGAGTCAATTTTGACCCACAGTGACCCTACAGCACAGGGTAGAACTTCCCCCAAGGTTTTCTAAGGCTGTAAATCTTTACAGAAGCAGACTACCTCATCTTTCTTCTGTGAAGCAGCTGGTGGGTTTAAACCACAAACTTTGTGGTTAGCAGCTGAATGCCTTAACCACTGTATCACCAGAGCTCCTTTGATGCTCCTTGTTGTTGTTAGGTGCCATCGAGTCATCTCTGACTCCTAGCGACCCTACGCACAGCACAATGAAACACTTCCCCATCCTGTGCCAGCTCCACTATCCTTGCTATACTTGAGCCCATCGCCACTGCCACTGTGTCAATCCATCTCATTGAGAGCCTTCTCCTCTTTCGTCGACCCTCCACCTTACAAAGCATGACATCCTTCTCCAGAAAATGGTCTCTTCTGACAACATGATCAAAGTAGGTGAGATGAAGTCTGGCCATTCTCACTTCCAAAGAGCATTCCAGCTGTACTTCCTCCAGGACAGATTTGTTAGTTCTTTTAGTACTCCATGGGAACTCTGGTGGCACAGTGCCTAAGGCATTTGACTGCTAACCAGAAGGCTGGCAGTTCAAACACACCAGCTACTCCTCAGAAGGAAGGTTGGGCAATCTACTTCTGTAGTGATACCACCTCGGAAACCCAAGGAGGAGTCACTATGAGCCAGATCCGACTAGACAGCACTGCATTTGGTGTTTTGTTTTGTTTTGTTTTGTTTAGCAGTCCATGGTACTTTCTGCATTCTTCGCCAACACCACAACTCAAAAGCATCTACTTTTCTTCAGTCTTTCTTATTCATTGTCCAACTCTCACATGCATATGAGGCAACTGAAAATACCATGGCTTGTGTCAGGCGCACCTTAGTCCTCAAGAAGACATATCTGCTCTTTAGCATGTGAAAGAGGTCCTTTGCAGCTGATTTGCCCAGTGCTATACATTGTCTGATGTCCTGACTGCTGCTTCCATTGGCATCGATTATAGAACCAAGCAATGTGAAGTCCTTGACAACTTCAATCTTCTCTCCATTTATCATGATGCTGCTTATTGGTCCAGTTGTTGAGGATTTCTGTTTTCTTTATATTGAGATGTAATCCGTACTGCAGACTGTATTCTTCAATCTTCATCACTGAGTGCTTCAAGTCATCCTCACTTTCAGCAAGCAAAGTTGTGTCATCAGAGTAACACAGGTTGTTAATGATTCTTCCTCCAATCCTGATGCTACGTTCTTCATATAGTCCACCTTCTCGGATTATTTGCTCAGCATACAGATTGAGTAAGTATGGCAAAAGGATACAAGATGCACCTCAGGTACCTCTAAATCAACAAGGTCAAAAGTGAGCTCCACACTTTCCTCCCCCAAACCGTTTCCTCTGCTGCTGTTATGTTTTTCAAAGAACAAGCAGATGAGCAGTAGCATCTGTGGCTCTTCCTTCTCCTACTATCACTTCTCAAACATCTAATCAATGGTCAAGTCCTATTTAAATGTCTATCAGTTCTCTCTTTGGCTCTCAAGCCTCACTGTCACCTTTCAGTGAAGGGCACAATCATCTCCTGCCTGAATTACTAACGCTTCCCTATCTGGACCTCTTCTGTTCCTTTCTTCCCATCGTGCCCCTTCCCAATTCTCCACAAGGCAGTCTGTTTAATGTCTCTGAAGATAAATTAATCAACTCGTCACTCTCCTGCTTAGACTGCTTCAGTGTCTCCTCAGTGCTTCTAACATAAAGTGTCAACAAATGATGTGGCTTTCAAACCTCCCCAGTTCTTGTCCACATTTGCCCTGTATCTTATTCTTTGCCAATCCTCACTCCTACCCTATTTCTGGCTCCCCTGCCCCTGCCATCATACCACAGTGACCTCCAGAATTTTTAATGTGTCATGTCATTCTCCTTTGCTTCTACAATGCTCTTTTCTTCCCTTCTTCCCCTTTGCCTGGCAAATTTCCATTCCAACCATCAGGTCTCCATATCCTTACTCCAGGAAGCCTTTCCTAAGCCCCACAATCTAGGATCTGTGGCCCTCTTCCTTTTCTCAAAGCTTCTTGTATATTCCCTCCTCATGCTACCTACCACCTGCTATTGTCTGACGATTGTGCCTGCTTCCCCCACTATACAGCAGACAGGAAAGCAGGGGCTGTGTCTGCTGGGAACACAGTGACAGGACACTCCCAAGCCCGTGATATGTGAGTCGGGTGAATGGCAGCCAAGAAGTAGGGCCCCACAATGCAGGGTGCTCCCCAGCCCCATCCCAGCCCTGCCTGAAGACTCACAGAGATGATGTGGCCCTTCAGGCCATGGGCAGAGTCGGCACACTCGATCACCGCACTCAGCTGAGGGTAGCCAACGCCTGTCTTGGTGCGGGTGGTGCACACAGAACCTGACAAGGAGGAAGAAATAAACCCCACAGATAAATGGTTGTGAACGTGCAGAATGTGGGATAAAAAGAGGCCCCGTCACAATCACACAGCTCTGCCCCAATTCCCTAAGGCTGAACTTCCCACTGAGAGAAGACATGCCTGGGGAGGAGAGCGGCTGCCTGGTCAGTTCTACAAAGGTCATTATAACCCACACCATCTGACCATGCCATCCCTTCAGTTTCACTGTCATCTGCTGATGCCCAGGACACCCTCCACCCTGTCACTATCACCATTCCTTGTGGCATCAGCCTCCACACAATGGCCAAGCACTCTGACCCCTCCATGCTTCAATCCCTTCCTTCTCACTGTTCTTCACTTGGCCAGGCAACCACACTCTATTTTAAAGGACCTCTCAAAATCCTCCCTCAGCCCCATAGCTTCTTTACCTGTAAACTTCTGTCAAATGACTTAGCCTCTCTAAGCCTCATTTCCTCATCTGTGAAATGGAAATAAAAACATTTATCACATAGGGTTGTAGTAGGAGAAATGGGATAAGGAACATATATCACTTGGCCCAGGGCCCGGCATATAGTAAAACAACAACAACAAAACAGTTGCCACAAGTTGATTCTGACTCATGGCAACCCCATGTGTGTCAGAGTAGAACTCTGCTCCAGAGAGTTTTCAATGGCTAATTTTTCAGTAGATTGCCAGGCCTTTCTTCTGAGGCTCCTCTGGGTGGACTTGAACCTCCAACCTCTGGGTTAGCAGACGAGCGTGTTAACTGTTTGCACCACCCAGGGACATCAGGCATACAGTAAGCTCTCCAGAAAAGGGAGTTGGGTGCTAATATCTTTCCTGTACCTCACTCTTACTCAACTCTGTCCTCAAATGTTACCAGGTCACTCATTCTTCAGGACCTCATAGTTCCTCTCTCAACACATCTGCTTTTCAGTAAACCCCTGTCACCCAGACTCTGAGATCAGCTTCCATTTCAATATTCAACTAGATGACTTCCTGCTCTTGACCTCCTGCTTTTCCCACTGTCCTGGCTGACTTTGCCTGTCTTGTACTACTATCCCCATCACATCCAGGCCAAGTTACACCAGAAGTCTAGCACCACCTCCAACCCCTTCTTCAATCTCACTCCTCACTCCCAGCAAGTGAACACAACCTGCTCTACTGAGACCACCCAGCTCAAGCACCTATGGACCCCATCCTCCTCCTCAAAATGCCTGGCCTCAGTGCTGATGGTTCACTTCATGATGAATGTAATCAATGTCACGGAACTGGAGATATTAAAAATGCTGAATTGGCAAATGTTTTGCTATATATTTTCTGGCCACGATAAAACAATAGAAAAAAATGTTCAGCCTCTTCAGCCATCCGCTGGCCTCCTCTCCCCGCTTTCTCTTTGCCCCCTCCTGTGCACTGCTCCAGACACAATGACCTTTCCATGCTCCAACAGAGAGAGTGGCTTCTTACCTTGGGGATTCTCTATATATGATGTTCCCTCTGTCAGGACACTCTCCTCTGGACCAACCCCCTCTTCTGGCCAACCCATTCTTATCTTTCAGGCTTCATCTGAAATGTCACAGCCTCAAGGAAGTTTTTCTTCCTAGCATTTATTTTAAAAGGATGTATTTAAATAAATATGTATTCGAGTTTAAGGTCTCTTTTCTCTGCTAGATGGTTAGCTTGAAGAATGCTAAGACCATGGATATTTGTTGTTTTGAATCCAGGGCTTAAAATAGAGCCTGGTGCTTAATTGGAAAAAAAAAAAACCTCACTGCCATAGAATCAATTTGACTCATAGCGACCCCTCCTTAGGTTTCCAAGGCAGTATCATTACAGAAGTAGATTGACCAATCTTCCTTCCAAAGAGTGCCTCAAGGGTTTGAACCTCCAGCCCTCTGGTTAGCAGTCAAATGCCTTAGGCACTTCACCACCAGAGCTCCTGGTGGTTAATAAGGACAAGGTAAATCATCACTGAAAGAATGAATGAGTCATCCACATCCCTGTCTCCATTTCTTCATCACTCATTCAGCCCTTCCAGGATACATGGTAATGTGAATTATGGGTGTTTTGGGATTGCAATGAGTGCCCTGAGATGGCAAAGGATGCCCTGGGGCTACAGCAAGAGTCCTTGGGTGGCACAAACAATTAAACACTCAATTATTAATCAAAAGGTTGGTGGTTTGAATCCACTCAGAGGCTCCGCCTGTAGAAGAAAGGCCTAGTAATCTGCTTCCAAAAAGTCATAGGCTTGAAAACACTGTGAAGCACAGCTGTACTAAGTACACATGGAGTTGCCATGAGTTGGAGTCGGCTTGATAGTAACTGGCTTGGTTTCTGGAACCCTGGTGTGAAAGCTGGGTGTGAACATCTCTCCTGCCCATGCCAGACTTGTGAGGAGGCACTCCTGGCCCCTGCCTCCTCTCCTGCTCCTCGCCACCACCAGTGGTATCACAACTCAAACCTAAAACCAAACCGACTGCCATCAGGTCAATTCTGACTCACAGCAACCATTTATGACAAAGGAAAAACCCTTTATGACTGCCCTGTGGGGTTTCAAAGGCTGTAAATCTTTACAGAAGCAGATTACCTCATCTTTCTCCCACGGAGTGGCTGGTGGGCTCAAACTATGTACCTTCTGGTTAGCAGCCAAATGCCTTAACTACTTGTGCCACCAACGATCTTAGAAACCAGCAAAAGGATAGGGCCTACCCCTCTGGACTGCATCCAGCGGCAGAACAGAATCCATGTATACTGCGTAGTGCCTAAGGCATTTGACTGCTAAGGAGAAGGCTGTCAGTTCAAACCCACCAGCCACTCCTTGGAAGGAAGATCTACTTCTGTAAAGATACTGCCTCAGAAACCCAAGGAGGGGTCACTATGAGTCATGATCGACTCGACGGCAGTGACTTTAATTTTTTGATTTATGTCTAGTAGTTCCCTATGCCCATCCTCAGCTAGCCCTCCATGTGCCACTGACATTGCTGAAGTCAACAATCTTCTCTCCCTACCATAGCTCTCTCTGCCCCAGTCACCACAATGCCCTGGGGAAGGCAGAATTAGAGCTTTAAAATCTCTGATACAGGTCAATGAGGGGAGGCAGGGACCTCAACTGCAGCTAGCCTGGGGCTCTGCACATGGAGGGGCACTTAAAAGACTAGGTCAACAGCTTTTCTTAGAAACAGCCAAGGAAGATGTTTCAAATAAGGCATGGGAATATCCTAATTAATACCTAATAGATATCCAGTACATCCGGTGGTGAAGTACCTACGGCGTGTGACTGCTAACCAGAAGGCTGGTGGTTCAAATCCCCCAGCCCCTCCTCGGAAAGAAGATTGGGCAATCTACTTCCATAGTGATACCACCTCGGAAACCCAAGGAGGGGATGCTCTGAGTCGGATCTGACTCCACGGCAGTGAATTTTTTTTTTTTTTTCCTCCCAATTAGAGGGGAAGGAGAATCATTTTTAATACTTTTTCTTAGTTTCTGGGATCAGCTCAATAACAAACTCCCTCTCTTTATTGATGTAAGGCATACAACAAAACATTTGCTATTTTAACCATTTTTAAATATACTATTCAGTGACATTAACATACACCATGTTGTACAATCATCACCACTATTATTTCCAAATGTTTTTCATCACCCCAAACAGAAACGCACCACCTCTCAAGTAACACTGCCCCATTCCCTTCTTCCCCCAGTTCTTGGTAACCACGACTAAAGTTTGATCCCTATGCATTTACCTAGTCTAGATACTTCATATAAGTAGGGGATTATATAATACTTGTCCTTTTGTGTCTGACTTATTTCACTCAGTATCATGTTTTCAAGACTCATCTAGAAACAAGCCATATCCCTGCTGCTGAGTCCATTCCAACTCATGGCAACCTTATAAGACAGAGCAGAACTGCCTCATAGGGATTTCAAGGCTATAATCTTTATGGAAGCAGACTGCCTCATCTTTCTCCTGTGAAGCAGCTGGTGGGTTCAAACCACCAACCTTCTGGTTAGCAGCCAAATGCCTTAACCACAGTGCCACCAGAGCTCCTCAGGTTCATCCATGTCATAGCATGTATCAGAACTTTATTTTTCTTTATGGCTGAATAATACTCCAGTGTATGGATATACCACATTTTGCTTACCCATTTATTGGCTAATGAACACTTCAATTATTTCTATTTTTGGCCATTGTGAATAACACTGCTATGAATTTAGACGTAAAGGATCTCGAGTCCCTACTCTCAAGTCTAGGAGTGAAATTTCTGGCCATGAACCAACATTTTTAATGCTGTCCTTTAGATATACAACGTCCAGTGTTTTTACTATAAAGAAATTTGTGAAATTTAAATATTCCTCTAATCAATTTAAAGAAGTGGCTCAAATATATCAGACTCAAAGAAAGTCCCTTACCCTCCTTAGTCACATCTGTTCTGCGGTTGAGGGATGAGTGGCAGTGGAAGAACAATGAATCTTCTAGGGAAACTGAGTATGTACATAGAGGATCTATATGAACAAAACCCTACAGCTGAATGCTCACGATGACATCTAGAAAAGTGCTCTGAGAGTCAAGAAGACTGCTTATCTACCTTTCCATTCTGTACAGTAACTCATTGCCATTGATCGATTCTGACTCACAGCAACCTTACAGGACAGAATAGAACTCCTCTCTAGGGTTTCTAAAGGAGCTCTGTGGCATAGTGGGTAACGTAATAGGCTGCTAACCAGAAGGTCAGCGGTTCAAACCCACCCCCTGCTCTGCTGAAGGAGGATAAGGCAATCTGCTTTCATAAAGATTTACAGCCTTGGAAACCCAATGGGGGTCACTATGAGTTGGAATTGACTCGATGGCCATGGGTCTGGTTTACAGGGTTTCTAAGGCTATAATCTTTATGGAAGGAGATTGCCTCATCTTTCTTCTACAGAACAGCTGATGGGTTCAAACCACAAATCTTTCAGTTAGCAGCCAAGTACATAACTGTGCCACCAGGGCTTCTTTTCTGTGGAGTACCTATCCAGTAATACGGGAGCTAGTAGATGCTCAATAAGTATTTCTGATTAAGTCAGGTCTGGTGAGCACCTCTACTTTTGGAAGGAAGCGTCATCCTGATCTATTACTCGTCTAATCTATTCTGTCACTAGGCGCTCTGGTGGCGTAGTGCCTAAGGCATTTGACTGCTAACCAAAAGCCTGGCGGTTCAAGCCCACCAGCCTCTCCTTGGAAGGAAGGTTGGGCAATCTACTTCTATAGTGATACTGCCTCAGAAACCCAAGGAGGGGTCGCTATGAGTCAGATCCAACTTGATGGCAGTGAGTTTGGTTTCTTTTTGATTCTGTCATTAGCCTGGTCTATTACAGCCTATCCTAAGTGTTGAGCTCCTTGTAAGCAAGAACTAGGCCTTATCCTTTCTTTGACTTCAATAATAGCAAAGAGTAAAGAGACCAAAGTTAACTCTCTTTTTGCTCAGGATATGTCATTAATGGTTCAAACAACCAACAACCTTTAGGTTAGTGGTTGAGTGTAAATCATTTGCACAACCCAGGGACAAAGAGTAAAAAGAAGCCAGAGATATCTATCCTCTTGCTCAGGATACATTATCAATTGGCACAAGTGGGTAGAAATAGAAAAAGCTCAATTTTTAAAATCTCCTTCTATACTAAAAGCTTGGGCATCTTTATGCACCTATAAGGTTCTTCTTCGTTTATTTCTCTTCATAAACATCTTGTTCCCTGAAAGGTGATAACTGTGCCACATCACAACAGTGTCTTTTGCTTCCCAGCGGCACCTTCCCACAGAATCCGCACATATGGGTTTGTGGTTTGCTTCCTTTTGGGGGAGTATCTTTGGGTGGGAGAACTTTTTAAAAAATAATACTCCTTGCTGTTTTTCAGTCCCAACTAAAAATGTGTATTTTCTTTCCTTCTCGTCCATTTTAGTGTCTGGTTAAGAATGGCTGTGCAAGGAACAATGTGAACACATGGCAACAAAGAAGGAATGGCAGCTCATTCTGGAGTTTAGCCAAAGGAGAAGGTGACAGCTAAATGACCCTGAAAGAAAATGGTGCCACCCAGTATGAGGACAAAAAGGCTCAACCTCTTCTTTTCACTCAATGGGTCCTCCTAGGCAAGAATCCTAACAGAAATGAAGACTGGCAAAAATCTGTGACTGGTATGTCAATTAATGAGCCTGAGGTGATGCTTAGTTACCTGAGCTATGGGTCCAGTTCAAATGTAGCCTCATACCTTCAAGCCTATTTGCAATGTTCAGGGCCCTTCCAATATTCAAAGAAACATGAGTCATTCATATCCACTAAAAGTCCCCAGGGATTCTTCACTCTTCACATTCCTCTTCAACGTATATAAGATCATTAATGAAATCTGGATTCTTTTCTTACACATTAACATTCTGAAACCAAGACCTCATATTCTAATCACACCCAAGCTCACTTAAAAGTTCCCTGGAGTCATCAGAAAGCAGCTCAATGATGTTTCTAACCACAAACTTCTTCTGGAAGCACAGTGATGCTTGTGGATCATGCATTTCCTGCTATCTCCAGTCTCTCCAGGCCCCAGACTCCATCCCCCACACACACCCTCTGCTGTGTTCCCAAGTCTTACCTGGTCCAACTCCCACTTTGATTATATCTGCTCCAGAAAGGATTAGCTCTTCTACCATCTCTCCTGTCACCACGTTCCCTGCCTGAGACAGAAAGAATGTAGCTCACAATCAAATGAATGAGTAAGGAATGCCACACTTGAACACAAGGAAATGTAAGTATATCCTAAAGCCATCAGGTGGCCTGGGGACTACAAATTGGGAGAAAACTTTGGACACAATTCCTGAGTCTATTTTAAGACTGAAATTATTGGATCAGGGTATGATGCCAAAGAGAATTTTCCTGGTTTGCTCCTCCATTGAATGTTGTTATGGGGTGCCATCAAGTCAATTTCCAACTCATAGTAACCCTATGAGATAGTAGAACTACCCCCATAGAATTTTCTCAGCTATAACCTTTACAGGAGCAGATCACCAGGTCTTCACCCCACAGAGTGCTGGGTTCGAATTACCAACCTTTTGGTTCACAGCCAAGTGCTTAATTGTTGCACCACCCAGAATCTGATGCCTGGAGACTACTTTTGGAACAACTCCTTGTTGAACTAATGGTATTGAAGGGAAAAAAAAAAAAAAGCCAAAAGCACTGCCACTGAGTAGATTCCAACTCACAGTGGCCATATAGGGTGGAGTAGATCTGGCCCACAGGGTTTCCAACACTATAAATCTTTACAGAAGCAAACTGCCTCATCTTTGTCCCACAGAGCAGCTGGTGGGTTTGAACTGCTAACCTTTCGGTTAGCAGCCCAATGCTTTAACCACGACACTACCAGAGCTCCATTAATGATATTAAACCAAACAAACCAAACTCACTGCTGCTGAGTCGATTCTGACATATCGACCTCCACTGGGTTCATGAGGTGGTAAATCTTTACGTGAGTAGATTGCCCAATCTTCTTTCCATGGAGTAGCTGGTGGGTTTGAACTGCCAGGCTTCTTGGTTAGCAGTTAAATGCCTTAGGCACTATGCCACCCCAAACCTGTTGCCATCAGCCAATTCCAAGTCATGGCCATATTATGTGTTACAGAATGCAGCTGCTTCATAGGGTTTTCTTGGCCGTAATCTACAAAAGCAGATCACCAGGCCTTTCTTCCATGGTACCACTCAGTAAGTATGAAATGCCAATCTTTTGGTTACTAGCTGAGTGCAAACCATTTGTACCACCCAGGGACCTTCTTGTTGTTGTTGTTGTTGTTGTTACATGCCGTCAAGTTGGACCTGACTCATAGTGACCCCTCCTTAGGTTTCCAAAGTGGTATCACTATGGAAGTGGATTGCCCAACCTTCCTTTATTAGAAAGTACCAAAAAAAATCAAACCCACTGCCATTATGTCAATTCCTGCTCATAGCGACCCTACAAGGACAGAGTAGAATTACCCCACAGGGTTTCCACTGCTGTAAATCTTTACAGAAGCAGACTGCCTCATCTTTCTTCCACAGAACAGCAGTGGTCAGTCTGGACCACTGACCTTTTGGTTAGCAGCCCAATGCTTCAACCACAGCACCATCAGAGCTCCAGTAGAAGGTACAGAACTATATAATTTTAAAACTAGAAGAGATCTGGTGGCATAGTGCCTAAGGCACTTGACTGCTAACCAGAAGGCTGGCGGTTCAAACCCACCAGCCACTCTTTGGAAGGAAGGTTGGGCAATCTACTTCCATAGTGATACTGCCTTGGAAACCCAAGGAAGGGTCGCTATGAGTCAGGGCTGACTCGACGGCACATAATAGCAACAAGAAGAGATCTTGGAGTATCTAGCTTAGGATTTCTTTTCCCCTTCCAAATATAATTTTATTTATTTTGTTGGTGTTGTTGAGAATATACACAGCAAAACATAACCAGTTCAACAGTTTCTACATGTACCATTTAGTAACACTGATTACATTCTTCAAGTTGAACAACCTCCTTTTTGGAGTTGTTCCTCCCTCATGAACATAAACTCACTATCCTCCAAGGTTCTTATCTAATCTTTTGAGTTGCTGTTGTCAGTTTGATCCCATATAAATCTTAAAAGAGCATAAGGCTCAAGGAAGACATTTTTTATTAGCTAAGCTAAACTATTGTTTGGTTTTAAGAAGTCTTCAGGAGATAATTTTGGTTTAAGTTTTAAAGATTATCTCAGGGCAATAGTTTCAAGGGTTCACCCAACCTTCATGACTCCAGAAGTCTAGAGTCCATGAGAATTTGAAATTCTGTTCTGCATTCCTCCTCTTTTGTGCAAGATTTGTCTATGGAATCTTTGATCAAAATGTTCAGTAATGGTTGCTGGGGCACCATCCATTTCTTCTGGTCTCGTGGCAAAGGAGTCAGTTGTTCATGGAAGCAGTTAGCCACATTTGATATCCTCCTCCTATTCCTGACTCTTTTCTTCCTCTGTTGTTCCAGATGAATAGACACCAATTGCTGCCTTGGATGGCCACTTGCAAGTTTCTAAGACCCCAGGCACTATGCATTGGAACTAGAAGGAGAACAGAAGCACTAACCATGCTATTAGATCAATTAAATGGGATGTCCCATGACACCATGACCCCAAACCTCCAAACCAAGAAACCAAATCCTATGAGGTATTTGGTTGTACATAAGCAGCCTCAGTAACTCATTGTTTTTAGTTGTTGTTGTAAATATATCACATAACTTCTGCCAATTCAACTTTTTACAGGTATACAATTTTGATAGCAATTATAATAATCAATTGGCTGTGCAACCTTACCTTTAATCAAAGTACTATTTCCATCACCATTGATCCCACTTTCCCCTTCCTTCTCACCTCTAATCGTTCTCTATATATTTGCCTTTTTTTTTTTTTTTTTAATGTACATTAGGTCAGACAATATATTTGCCCTTCTATGACTGATTTAGGAGCTCTGCTGGCATAGTGCCTAAGGCATTTGACTGCTAACCAGAAGGCTGGCGGTTCAAACCCACCAGCCACTCCTCGGAA